AAATAAGGGGAAAAGTATATAATTTGAATATCATTATTTTGCAACTCCCAATAAATAAACGAACCTAGGCATTAAGCTTCAACAACTGTTAACATCAAAAAAAGACAGCAATAATCAGACCTTGATCTTGTATCTAGAAGGGGATGCTACTCCATTGTTTAAAGAGTTGAAATATTTTAACCTCACAATGGCAACGATATGTATATTGCTTTCATTTTGCCCTAATAAGGAGAACAACTTATTAATTTTCACCATGTACTCACAAGAAGGGCTACTTTCTCCAATTTATAATAAAGAATAGTGTCATATACATTTATGGATGGTGAATGATTATATTTACTTGGATTTTTGGTCATTATTTTGCTTAACAAGATCTACAGTGGCCATCAAAATGGTTCAATATGCCACAGCTCCCATGAAGTTCAGCTCAGTCAACAGATATGGATAAAATTGAGCTCCATGGATCAGAATAAAAATGGTATGTAAGATCCACGAGAGCCATTGAGCACTCTTCTGTGGCACAACCAGGTAGGCCTTTGATGAGAGGCAGATCCTTATTGTGATTAATAATGATAGTTGAGAACTTATTTCCCTTTGTATCACGTTTTATTTCTTTGCATTCAGTTGAGCAGATGAGATGGCTTAGCAACAGTAAGAAAACCAGCACGGTCACTACCTAGCCTATTTTTTTAACATTGTGCTGTGTATTACTAATTGATTTGTTTCTTCTTGGAGGGGGCTGCAATATACTTAAAATGAAACCCAGTGCTTAATGGATTTTTCTTTCCTCAGCTGTCTATAACCAATCAGTATTTTGATGTTTGTGGGTTCTTTGTACAATATAGCTGTGAGTATTAAACTAGGTTTCCAGTGGGTGGTATAATTAAGAACAAGATAAAGCAGTTCTTGTCTTTTCTCTCTCATAAATGAGTTTTAATACAATAGTTGTTTTTTTGTTTGTTTTTTAAGTAAGAGAAGAGGAAAGAGCTGGGTTTCCTCCGTCGCCTGCTCCCAATCCAGGCTCCTCCTTGGGGGCCATTTAATCCTCCTACAGCTCCACAGAGCCTCAGGGATCAGTGTAGACTCTCAGCTGGGGAAATGTGAGGACCCTTGAACTCTCAGATTGGCAACTTGGCGTCAAGCTCACCTCACTGCTGGTCTCACTGTGACCTTGATCTTCTCTTTAAAAAGCAAGATTTTCCCTTGTTGCTTATTACCCAGTCCCTCTCATATGTCTGCTTGCTGATCTTGTAAACATTCCAGTTACCAGATTCCCTTTTGACACCCCCTGGCTCCCCGTGGCCTCTCGGGGGGCCAGAGTCCTGACACTGAGCACCTGTTTTCCCTGGTTTGCGCCCATGACCCCCTAAAGTGCACCCTCTGCTAGGCTAAGCTACTGTGGGACTTTCTGAGGCTGAGGGTCTACCTACCACATACCCTGACCAGACTCCTCTCCCCTCATGGTGGCCTGCCTACTCTCTGGTCCTGAGCAAACTTGGTCGGGTTTAACTGAGCTCTGGGCTCATAGATTTAAAAAGGGGGGAAAAAAAAAAAAACCAGACTTGCAGAAGGGTTCCATGAAGATTTCATGGTGACTGTAGCACCTTTTCAAGTCTTGAACTTAAACTCAGAAGATCTATGTTTAACTCCTAGCTTGACTGATTATCCACTCTGTTTACAGCAGGCTGGCTCTCCTGGAAAAGTTGTCATATAATGCGAATATTGTCCTCCCTCCACCGTGGCCCCAACCTAGTATCTACTAATCTGAATCTTCAGGGCCCTGGAATCTGTATTTTTAAAGGTCCTTAGGTGGTTTGGGAACCACTGAATTCAGATATCTCCAAGGTCCCATCTTGCTGTGGCATTCTGTGATGTCTATGAGATTCCAAACAGAATGAGCAAAGAGAACCGACAGGATGAAGCTTTAGTAAGACAAGCCCCCACACATCAGAAGCAGGACAGCCCTTCACAATGGGCAATAAACTCAGAGAATCCATACCCCCAAGAAGTGCTGCTGGTGGGACACAGAAATTAATTCCAAACAACTTTGGGCAGATTTATGAGAGACAGAGCCATCCAAGGTAGCAGGGAGGACCACCATGCCTCGAAGGCTGTGGGAGCAACAGAATTCCAGCTGGGTGAATCATGGGTTTGACCTGGGATGGCAAATCCTCTATTCCCATGGAATCTACTTTAGAAAGAATTCCCGCTCTGGACCTCTCCATCAGCAGTTGCTGAAAATGAAAACAGAATTTTGTGCATAGAAACCACCTGAGACTAATATATGTCCACTGAGTTGGGAAAATATCGGTCCCCTTATTGAGAAACAGCCCCTAGAGTCCCTTCTTTATGGACTGGGGAACATAAATCTTGAGATTGGGTGTCTCTGCTTCCTTACAGTCAAAAACTGAGCAGGAAGTTACACACTTTTTAAACTATATTCACTATGCGTCTCTAATGCAGAATGTTGACCTAAGCACTTTGCTTAGGTCATCATTTAATACTCCACAGCATGTCTAAGTACTAGGTGTTTTTACCTCCACTTGTTCAGATTAAGAAATTGAGGCTCAGAGAGGATGTAGAGTTTACCCCAGTTCTCGTACCTCATCAGAGGTAAAATCCAATGAGAAAATTTGGCCCATCTGGATCCAAAGCCCATTCCCCTCTTCCTACCCCGTCAGATGCCCAGCTTGGCCAAGAAGTAGAAGCCCACCCTCTCTGGGAACATCTCAGAACCTTCAGAGCAATGTTAAGCGAGGCTGAAGTTAGAAGAGGGTCCTGCTGAAGGACTTGCTCCGGTAGGGTGCCGAGCCCACGCCTTCCTTGAATTGTCTTCCTCAGCACACTCTTCAGGGGAAAAAACATACATATTTATATTTATGGCTAAATTCTTTAATTTCCAGGACTGAACTAACTAAGTGAACCATCATGCTTCTGCCCCAGATTGATAAGGCTGCCCCCAAACCCAGGCTGCTCGCTATAGGCACAGACTGAACCTGCAGAATAGGCTTCAAGGAGCTAGAGAGTACGGGGAGGAGTGTACTTTTTAACTTCTTTTCTGAGCTGTTCTTTTTTCCCTGCTCCTATCGTGATCCCCAACTCACCGAGTTTAAATTCCTAGGTGCTGTTGGCGGAGGGATCCATATACACAGAAACCCTGTCCGCATTTCCCATTGTCAGGAACAGCACCAGCCTTGGGTGCAGGCAGGTGTCAGCGACACAGCTCACATTTTTAGAGTTTTGGACTTTACAATGACCTTTCATACCCCTCGCTTTCTTTAATCCTCATGGCAACCCAGCCCCTTTCACAGACAATGGAACACGATCAAGGTCCCATAATCAACAATGATGAAGCTGCTCCCAAACTCAGATGTTCGTGCTGATTTCAAAGCCTGAATCCTTTCCGCTTCTCCCCTCTGGCACAGCTCACACATGTGATTTGAACACTGGAGAGGGTGAAAGGACATCTGGCCGAGACAGCTCTGCTGAAATGCCTCCAGTAAAGAGTTAGTCCTTTGAATTAACAGGTTACCCCTTATAATACGAATAGATGAGAAAATTAACAATCAGCCATTCACACCAAAGATGAATGGATTCGTCACCTTCTTGCCCTTGAAACAACCTTCAGAAACCAAATAGAAACCAACATCTTCATTCGAAAAAATGAAGCCAAGAAAGGTATTGAGTGCTCAGTATTGAGTAGCTGTATGCATGAGAACCCCAACTAGAGCTTCGGTCTCCCGACCTCAGCTCTGGGGCAGTGTCACAAAAGCCCACCACAGCCAGCCTGGTTTTCAGATTATCAAGACTGCCCAGTGTAATCTCAATCTGATTGCTAATAATTAGCAACCCAAATTAACCTTTCATTTTTGCATCAAGTTAGCTGAAAGTCATCAAAAGAATTTTATGCTTCAGCAAACAAAACTATATACACCCAAATTAATTTTTTCATAATTTTATGTAGGTAGAGTTCAACTTAATCACTTTAAAGGGAAATAACTTCTTCAATCTTATAATGAGATTTTTGTATTTTAACTAAAAGTGATTTATCAAGAGCACATTTTTTTGGAAGTTTTTATAGGTTGTAAACATGTTAAAATTCCTGCCAGGATGAAATCTGACAATTCCCCAAGGTCCAGCCAGGCTCAAAGATAGAAAGTTTGGAAGGAATGGCCCAGTGGCAGTGGAGGGGTGGGGATGTGCTGGGTGTTCCTGAGGCACCCCCAGAAGGCCACCTAAGAGCATTGGGTGCTCCGGGTGAGGACAGAGCACCAGGAAGCGGTGAGGGGCTTGGAAAAGGACGTGCACCAAAGGCAGATGTGACCTGTTTCCCATTTTTTACACTCTCTGTTACATAGCCTGAGAGCTGCTTCTAATGCATTTCCAAACACAACCAATGTGGGGGAGGAGGGCATGGAGCTGACTCTGTGTCCACTTTACTCTTCTGATCTTCTCCAAGCTAAGAAGATCCTATATGCAGATATCAAACTTTCGGAAGCGGGTTAGATCCAGTCACAATAGCACAGATTGAGCACCTGTTCTTTGCCCAGCACTGTGCTGGACTCAATGAGAAACCAGGAGAGGACCTGGCCACTGCCCACCTGTCTCAACTGAGAGGGGTCGTCTCTCCCTCCTCAGAACCTTCACAGTGCAGTGTTAGCCAGACCCTCTTGAGGCTCTTTTTCTGTTACTGTCCTGTCTTGTTGCATCCCTTTGGGTCTCCCTTTAGTAGGCTGTAAGCTTCTTTAGGCCAGGCTCCAAGTCTGCTCCATTTGTGTCTCTCCCTCAGTATCTGTCTGGCCCAGGGCCTGGCACACAGTAGATCTTCAACAGAAGTTTCCAGTTCAGATGACTGATTACTGTTCCTTGCCCCGACATGGGTGCCATCTTGGAACGTGGGTTTGGCCTCATGGAGCGGACAGCTCAGAGGCAGCAGAGGGAGGCCCACGGAGGAGGGAGGGCCAGGCCAAGTGAGTGATCGCCTTTCCTCTTGTGTGCAGTTCACTGGCTGTTCACCACATGCGGGGCCAGTGGGCCCCACGGCCCGACGCAGGCCCAGTGCAACAATGCCTACCGGAACTCCAACCTGAGCGTGGTGGTGGGGAGCGAGGGCCCCCTGAAGGGCATCCAGACCTGGAAGGTGCCAGCCACCGACACCTACAGGTGGGTATGGGGGAGGGGGAGGGCAAGGGGCAGATCCACCCTCCTGAAGAGGACTGGGGTCCTGCCGTTGGGTGCATGCCTGCTCTCCTGGGGTGCCCGGGCAGGCCAAGGCTCCGAGGCCACAGACTCTGGCCCACATTGGAGTGTAAGGGCTGGAGATGGGGAGATTTGGGATAATGGAGTATGGCAAGAAAAGAAGCTGTGTCCTCTGTCCTCAAGGAGCCCAGACTCATTTGTGGAGATGATATGCATGCATGCACCAGCTTCAGAACATTCTTTAGCTTTATTAATAACTATAATTATAGTGAGCTGTTCTTTGAACTTCATGCTGTTTAAATGAAGCAATGAATGTCAAAATGTTTGGGAGACAAAAGTATGATACACTTGCAAGATGATTTCTTATGCTTGAGCCTCCTTTCCTGGGCCTTCATTGTTTGCACGTGAAGCAACTATTCTGGAACTCTTATCCCAGGCCCAACCCCACAGTGTTCCACCAGAGCCAGGCCAGGCTGGAGGGAGGCCCGACTCCAACGGGCACTCAGCTAAGCGAAGCTAACGGCAAGGCCTAGACCAGTGGCTCCTAACCTTGAGCGGGCATCGGAATGACAGGAAGGCCAGTTAAAACAGAGATTGCTGGTTCCACTTGCAGAGTATATGATTTTATAGGTCTGGAGTGGGGTCCAAGAATATGAATTTTTTTTTCATGCTAAACATTTTTACATTAATGAAGCAAATATGACAAAACACTGACATTTATTGGATGCAGGTTGAGGAGGGAGACGCCAGTGGTACTCACTGTACTCATGGTATCCATCCATATTCATTCATTCACCGAGAATCTGAATTTCTAGCAAGTTCCCAGATGACGCCAATGCAGCCGCTGGGTTAACCACAGCACATGCTGTCATCCTCGCTCAGCTCGATGCTGTGGGCAAGGCCAGTGCTGCAGTCCTCATTTTACAGTTGAGAAAACGGAGGCTCAGAGCGTCAGGAGCTTCCCACGGCCACGTGGTCAAGAAATGGCCTCCAAGCCCAGGCTTCGGAGGCGCAGCTCTGCAGAGGTTCCTCCCACCGCACACGGCTGGGCTGTGTAAACAGGAAGCATCGTAATTTTGCTGTCATTTGTGCAGATGCCCCCTAGAGGCTGAACACAGTGGGAAGTGAGGTGCTTCCCCTCCCGCGGCCCCCAACCCCCGGCACATCCTCAGACCCCTGGGAAGGAAAGGGGCTTCTCAGGTTGCCCTGTTTTCCGCACATTCCCACCCCTGGGACTTCAGTGTAAATGCGTTCCGGGGAAAGCCCTGAGTGCTTTTTAAATGACATTCTGGGCAGGAATGCAATAACAAGGCTTGACTGCAATCAGATTGGCTGCTCCAGGTCCCACACATCCCTCGTAAATGGCCAAAGGCCTCCGGCTACCCTTGGCCACGCCATACTGAGCAGGCTGGGCCTCCCCTTCCAACCTGGCTGAATTTCCAGGGGTCATCCACTGTCCTAGAGAGAAGGGGATGCATGTCTGTTGAGGACCCACTAGGTATTCCTCCTCCTTTTCACAATGAGGTAGATGTTATTACTATTGTTTTTATCCATATTCCCTTGTTTCCGTATGAAGAAACGTGTCAGAAAGCTTAGCAATAGATCTAAGGCCACTCAGTCAGTGACAAAGCTGGAATTTGAACCCAGGACCCTCAGTCTCAAAGTCTGTTGGTTCTTTCCATTAAAACTCCCACTCAGGAAACAGGAAATGGAAGGGGGCATAGGAATCATGCAGCACCCACCTCCAGGAAGCCTTCAGAAATGAGAGCCTGGGAGGGGAGGCCCCACCGCCTGAAGGGATAGTGGCCAGCCCAGCCCTTGGTGCAGATCCCCACATACAAAAAGCAACGTGAAGAAGAAAGCAGAGGAGCTGTAAGGCAGACAGAGACCTCAACACTTACCCCCAGCAAAACCCATTGTCCCATCCCTGCCCAGGGCGACTCCCAGGCTAGACTGGCTCGAAGTCCTCTGCGACTTATGGAGGTCCTCTTGAGCTGCGTTCCTCCTGAGATAGTGTGAATCAGACCCACTTCCAAACTCTGGCGGGTTATTTAATCTCTTGAGACTCTGTTTCCCCACCTGTAAAAGGCGAAGGTTGGGGGTTGCTAACACCTGCCCAGTTGGTTGCAAAGATCATGTACAAGTGCCTCGCACATGCCCTGCACGTGGCAGGTGCTCCCCAGCCCAGGTGACGGCAGCGAAATCCCCTGGAGTGGTGTCAGGCAGTGGCCAGACAGCATTTCCAGGAACAGCCGTAGTTCCTGACTTCTCTGCTTCCAAGGACTTTTTTCTGACTTCTTCAGATAGGTCCTGCCTTTTGAAAGGTTTTGCCTGCCAAACTACACTTATTAAGTAATAATTCATTTTCCTATTTTCTATTAATCACAGCCACATCTAAGTCTAGCCAGGTTTCTGATCTGTGTAAATTGCCACGGTATAACCACCCGTGTTGCTACAAGCCCAGCCCAAATCAGAGAACTGTTTCCGTTTCTCTCTTTGGAATATTGAGACTAGCTCCCAGCCCCCAGCACTGCCCGCTGAACACTCAGAAACACGCGCAGGAGCCGTTTTTCTGTTGAAGCAGGACACTTCGAAGTGCCCACATTTGTAAAGGGGACTTCTGATCAGGACTTTTTTGAACTGGCCTGAGAAGCACCATATGAAAATGGATGAATCAAAACCAAAACATGTTGCCTTTGGGTTTTTGTTGTTGCTGTTGACTCCTTGTTTTTTAACCCAACAAAGACTTACAGATATTCCCGACCCTCACCTCATCCTTGACCCTGGATGAGGCTTGAGACTTGGACAATAATGTCTACTGGTCACATAACATCGCATCAAAGAAGCAGACCATTTAATGATTTGCTATACAGACCACATCGAAATGTCCCCAAGTCAGAGTATCCAGGTTGAGAAGTCAGGTGCCCTTTTTCTGGAAGATATTTTCTCCATATTAACTAATTCTTATTTAGTAAGTGCAGTTCGTCTAGTGAGACAAACGTAGGACACACAGGAGGATGGATGTAAAAGGTTCTTGAGAACAGAAAGGTTGGAATCATTCCTTAGGGAGTCCATCTATTCCTGGAAGAGTGTGGCGCTCAGCTAGTTCTGCCTGGCTGCAGCTTGAGGCCTGGCACGATTATTGCTACAATCAAGGTCTCTACCTACTGATCAGAGAGGTGAGGGAAAGCGAGCTATACTTATCAAGCACCCACTGTGTGCCACAGTGAGACGTCATTGCCTGGGGCTTGCTCAGGGATGCATACAGGTAAAAAAAGAAAAAAGAAAGAAAAAAAATCTTTTTTTAAATTAATTTTTATTGGAGTATAGTTGATTTACAATGTTGTGTTACTTTCTGCTGTACAGCGAAGTGAATCCGTTATACGTATACATATATCCGCTCTTTGTTAGATTCTTTTCCCATATAGGTCATTACGGAGTACTGAGTAGAGTTCCCTGTGCTATACAGTAAGTTCTTATTAGTTATCTATTTTATATATAGTAATGAAAACACCTCCACTCTTAATTAACTGGTCATTTACCCGGTGTTCCTCTCCCATCTTCTACACCTTTGTCTACTACCACGAAGAGGGAGAGGAAGGACAGGCCAGGAAGGAGACAGGTGGGATGTGCCAGGCTAAGGTGGGGCTTTAGGGGCAAAACCTAAATCTCCATCTCCTCCCCACACACGCACACACTGCTTTCCTGCCCTGGGCTTCCCCTTCCCCTGGATTTGCCACTTCCTCTGTCAGAACAGGACAGGTGTCCATACCTGCTCCCCTCCTGCTTTGCACATCTCAGCGGACCATATTAAGCACCTATTAGGACACTATGCCTATATAAAGAGGTGCAAGATCCAGTTTCTGCCCAAGAGGAGCCCCAGTCAGCGGTAGATGTAGGAACAAAGCATTTCAGTGTGATGTAGAAAGTACTGCAATGGAGGCTTACACACAGCCCTGTGTCAGAGGCCAGGGGAAGGGCCTGAGTTCATGGATGGCTTCCACAGGGAGACAGAAGCCTGAGTTAAGTCTTGAAGGTGATAGAGTTGTCTACGAAGACGAGGGGAGGGCCTTCCCGATGGAAGGAGCCCCTGGGGCCAGCCAGGGCCTGCAGGAGCTGAAGCAGGACCTGGCCCTGAGGCTGGAGCCTCACCTCCCGAACACGTTCAGCTCCTTCTGGTGCCAGCGTGATGGTGGTGGTGAGAGAAGCAAGTGGGGAGGCAGGGAAAACAGAGGGAAGGCTGGTGAGGTCATGCAGGCAAGAGTCACATGGGGCTAAACCAGGGCAGGGGAAACATGGTGGGAGAGGCCGAAATGTTTGGGAGGTAGAATCGGCATGACTGGAGGACTGGGTGGGTGGGATGGGAGCGGGAGGGACACCTGATCTGGGAGATTTCCAAGTCTTGGTTCTGAGCGCCCATGGAGGAGGGCAGCTAAGGTGGATCAGAGCAGGAGCGTGGATTGTGGGGTGTGTGCTGGGGCAGGAGCCTCAGCCTCCGCCTAAAATGGAGACACACACTGACTGAGTTCGGCTCCAAGGCCCGGGGGGATTTAGTGTGTGACACCCCGCGCAGGGCCAGTCGCATGCAGATGTCAGCCAGCCAGCCTCTCGCTGTCCTGACTTCTTCCCCTCTTCATCCTTCCCTCCCTCCGCCCAGCCCACCTGCCTGTTCTCCTGCCTCTCCAGGGTTCCATATCCTTCCCTGTCCCCCTCCTCCCCCAGCTTCCCACGTACACACACAAATACGCACACGCACACGCACGCGCACGTGCCCACGTGCACACAGATCGTCTGTAAAAACTTTGGTCAAGCACAGCCCACAGCTCCTCATGACAGTTCTCACATGTTTCACGTGTTCCTCAGACATCACGTACAAGAGGTCTCAGATCCCAGCTGGAGCCAGCGAAGCCCACCAGCCAACCTGGGCCACAGCTGTCCCTGACGGCCTCCATCACTGACACTAG